GGGGGGGAGGGGGAAGGCTGTCTTCGCTTATTTTGAGATCTATTCTCTTTACGGTTTTTTTTATTACATGTATTGTTATTCATCTCAGTTCATGATTACGTACTTCCTGCTCTCTTTCTCTCTCTCTCTGATCAGACATCATTTTGCCCGTCCTCTTCCTCTTCCTCTCCCTCTTCCAGTCCCATTCCCTCTCGCTCCACCACCAGCCCCAGCCCCAGCCCCAACCGCCTTCCCTGCCTTCCCTACAACCCCCCTCCTCCCCCTCTCACCTCCAGCAGCCCGTTCTCTCTCCTTCTTCGCCTTCTCCCCCTCAACAAACTCGCGCATGATACCGTGCAAAGCGTCGTTCCGTCGCGTCACGAGCAGCACATCGTCGCTGGTGGCTGTCGTGCGGCTGGCGTGCCGCGAGAAGGACTCGAGGTCTGTGGCGACGGATTCTGTAGGGAAGGGGGTGGGGGTGAGATAGGGCGGGAGATGAGGGAGATGGGGAGGGAGGGAAGAGGAGGGTTGGTGAGGGGACGAGGTTTGTGGTTGGGGGAGGGGGGTGTGTTTAGGAATGGTTTTTTTAGGGGGGGAAAGAGGGAGGGGAGGGAGATGAGAGAGGATGAGGGCATACCTAGCTGTGCCCAGGCCATCTCGGTCATGGCGCCGATGAACTGGGGGGTGGCGGTCGTGTTTAGGCGGAGACACTCCTCGTCGATGAGTTTGCCGATGGCGAACCAGAGGGAGGCTTTTAGTTTCTGAGGAGTGGGAGAGGGGGTTAGTTGGTGTTTATTTGATTGTTTGGTTGCGTGATGAGATGAGGGGGGGATTGAGGGAGAGGAGAGGGAGAGGGAGAGGGAGAGGAGAGGGAGTGGGAAGGGAAAGGGAGGGAAGGGCTTGAGAAGGGATGGGAAGTGATGGATGGATATATATATGTACTTCGTTTATGGGATCTTCTTCTGCTTGCTGGGAAGACATCCTGGCTGAGACTGTTTGTTCTTTTGATTCCGATTCGATTTGGCGAGGAGACGTGACTGCGTTGGTCCTGATTTTTTTG